TCCTTTAGTTTAGACCTCATTTACTAGTTTTATTTTTAGCAACATCGAGGCTGCAAGTAGCCTGGATTGAACTGAGCTCCCTGCATGATGGCTTCAGATCCCCCTTGACGTCATCTCTGAGACCACTGAGACACCAGGGGAGAAGGCGGGAGGTATGGGAGCAGGGGAGCAGCCTTTGTTTTCAACCACCTCACCAGTTCATCCTGCTTGCAGGAAGATTACCGTCATCCCAACTACCCCCATCTGGCCAGAGGGAAGCCAGTACTATTGCTAGTTTATCATTTGCAGGAGAGCTGGCATCATTCTGGAATGAGTAAACTGAGGAGCCCTTGAGTTTTCTTCTTGCCCTTGTGTCTTTCTTGTGACCCTGTTCACTGGTTATGGTTTTTCCTTTAGGCATGGGGCCTTGCTGGTGAACATTCATATGAGTAACAAAAACTTAACAGGAGAACTGATTTTTATTAAATGTCTCATCCCGGTAGGGGCTTGCCTTATGTTCCAGTCTGAGGCTTGTCAGTGGCCACATCAAATACCCAACAGTTAAGCTTCAAGGAATTAAACCCTGGATCCGTATTTCTCAACTTTAAAGGGCCCCATCAGACTCTTGGTCTTGACATCCACAGGGGGATTTAAAATTGGGACTAACTAAAACTAGATAATATTGTCCAGAAGTGGTATTTTTGCTGTTTTTCTTGTTGTGTGTATCACCTATTTGTATTACTTCACAACTAGATACTTTTGTTGCTTTAACTTCTCATACGGCTAAGCAAGCTGATCAGACTAATTGTTGGGTATATGCTAAGACTTCACTTAGTACCCAGACTAAAACTTTTGTTAGTTGTTCCTTTTCCCTATTTAAAAGGATACTTCTTTTAGACTCAGGGGTCCTAAAGATTAAGATGATGACATAACTAAGTCCACTCGAACACATTGGTATTTTACTTGCCATCAGACTAAACAAAAAAACCCCAAACTCGTTGCCATTGAGCCGATTCTGACTCATAGTGACCCTATAGGAGAGAGTAGAACTGCCCCATAGGGTTTCCAAGGAGCAGCTGGTGGATTTGAACTGCTGACCTTTTTGTTAGTAGCCGAGCTCTTAAAACCACTGTACCACCAGGGCTCTTGCAATCAGACTAAGGGATATAAAATAGACTAGTCAATGTCTAATTAACATATAAAAACAGTTATTATTTTCATAATACAAGCACTGTACACTGAGATTTATTCCCCTTTAGAGATACTTATCTTTTAATGCAGAATGATCAAATAACCCTTCAAGCCATTTCTTCCCAAGGGGATAATTGCTGGCTCAATGGAACTAAAACTGATACAGCATGTAAAATTTAAATAGATACACAGCCCCACTTGGAATGTAGTCTGAATTATGGTATTAAACTAATTTTCATACTATAGACTTTAATATTAAGGCTTTCTTTATTTTAAAAGGACATTAAAAGAAATGGTGGCAGCAGAGACGGGAGACCAGTAGGAGATGGCGTGGTGGGCTTCCTGGCCCACAGAGTAAGATGAGTGCCTTCGGACAAGAGTCTTGCTGGCAGAGTAGGGTGCCTTCAGTCACTTGGTGAAGCTAGGTTTGCTGACCTATGGAGCTAAAGCTGAGCGCCTTCTGGCTTAGGCTTGCTGGTGGAGTGGGGTGCCTCTGAGCACTTATCGTCAGAGCTAAAAGAGCTTTGTACCACTTGGCCCTAGCAGGGCAGAGGCTAAGAGGACAGTGAGAGGCCTGCCTACAAACACAGCTGAGAAGAGGCTGTTCTGATTGAACAACTGTATCCTGAGCA